CTAATAACTTCATTTGACGACTACCTATATCCGGGCATAAACCTTGCATAGCAACATAGCTTGTTGAAAGCGCCTTCGATTGAATCCAAGAACAAATCTTTGCGACTAATGTGAGCGGAGATATGTAAGATAAAACATTTTTATGTTGTCATTTTATTACGTTCTTTCAGCGCCGCCCGCCCGGCTGCCGCCGCGCGCAGTCGACGCTAGCGCACCCTGTGGCCGGCCGGCGAAACGGGGCGAAGACAACCAGCTTCCCCCGCCGCCCGCTGGATCCGCCGCTGGCCGGCAGTCCCAATCGAGTGCCAATGAGTCCCAAATGCGGCCCAAATACAGGGTGGGGCAGCATAATCGGGAATGCTTTTTGGGCTCTGGTCATGAGTAGGCATGGCATTATTTTGATAAATTATATCATGGCAATGAAACGCCCAAAAGTTGTGCATCATCTGACATGACTACATCCATGAGCATGCAACTTCCTGGAAAAGAGCAGCAAAATAGTTCGACGGTGCTCCAAGTGCTTTGCGCGCGCCCATAGACACTAATGTTAAACGAGTAAAACAAGAACATTTTGTTTAAAACAATGCCATTCCACGTAAAGGTTGCTGGACAGGTCAACGTGTTATCACGGACGATAAGGATTGTGTGGGGATACTTAGGACAAAAAGTTAACGTAATCGTCGTAAAATAACTCTTAGCAGAGGACATACAAGATGACTCACTTGAATATAAGGAAGAAGCTCTTGAGCATATTAAAAAGAAACAATGTTCAAAACTTCAGCGACCAAAAATCTTATCACCGACTGGAATACGATAAAAAAGAATGGCATGCCATATAGGGGATTGTATCGAGAATATTGCAGCGGTCATGCAAAGTAAACATCCTGTTGAGGTGATGGACCTATGGGTGGTCTTCAAGGGAGGTGCACGTGGTGCACCCTACTTCATCGAGCCCGGATAAAACGAGCACCTCTGGTAAATACATCCACACTCTGGCAGACTCACGTGGAGTCGTCGGAAGAGAGGATCACTGACGGTCCAGATCACGTCTTACGAGGACTCTGTCCGTGCTGGTACTGCAGTGAGGACGACATGTTATTGTGTAGGGCACCTCCACCTGAGATGAACCAAAAACTTCTGGTCCTTCAACTCCGCCGATTTAAATCCGACCAAATTCTTTATATGGAGCGTTTTTTGGTAGAAGTTTAATGAATAACTTATCATCAGTAAAAACGGTCTTCAGTGCAAGGTACGAAGCTGATGGGCGATCATGGACAAGCAGGAGGCTGCACGTGCATGCGCGTGCTTTTGGACCCGCCTTGAGAAGGTCATCGACGCGAAGGGCGGTCAAATAGGATGAGGGATAGGTAAAAGGTGACCGATTGATGGGATGCTGTTAAAATAGTGCTTGGAGCTATATTTTTAAATTCATGACCAAATAATCCCGTTTGATATTTATTCCCGATTATGCTGCCCCACCCTGTAGTTCCAAATGCTAACCCGCGCCGGGCCGGGGGTGTTTGAAACCCCCCCCCTGCGTTTTTTCGCAGATATCTCAAAAACGGCGGCGCAGAGCGCCGCCGTTTTTGGCACACCTGTTTGTACATCTTTTCCGCACATGTTGTGAAAATTTCAGACCAAGGTCACCTTAGGTCAGGTCACCAGGTCACGCCAAGTGACCTCACCTCAGAAAAAATAAGAATGCTCGTCATAGCTACACCGACTGAACGATTGCCTTGAAACTTTCAGCGATTGATTAGAGCAACACTATCTATAAAATGTTCGTCTCGGAATTTTGATATCGGTGACCTAAGGTCAGGTCAATTTTGCGGCCTCTCCATTATAAGTCAATGGGAGAAAATTGAAAAGCGTCTGTTTTGCACGAACGCTATTCTAGACACTCTCAAACATCAAGATGTAGGTGAAATTGACACACTGACTGAACCAGAAAATGGCAACTGTGACCCCCGATATGTCCCCGAGGTCATCTCAGGTCACGAACAGAATCTAACAGTTTTTCGCTAATAACTTCTGATAGAGGCGTGCTAAAGCGCTGAAAATGCCCTAGATGTGTTCGGCTTGACGTTGCCGATGAACTGATATACAACATGACCTTTTCCGGTCAGGTCATGACCTTGACCTGAGGGCAAATTTTCAAGTTGACCTTTCAAGGTCAAATTATAGTTCATTCGACGCGTCTCGACGAGAGGAACACGATGCTGGCAAATGTAATGTCATGGCTCTTGTGAGTCAAAAGTTATTGCCGAAAAAACGCTTTTCGTAAAAACGGCTATTTTGGAGTTTTTGCCCTCTGGAGGCTAAACCGTTGACCTGAAGTCAAATCTGAGAACATTGCTCAGAAAGGTCTGTAAAAGGGCTATCGAATGCGCTTTTCCGCGGCGCTGTAGCTCTATCGGTTCTCGAGATAGCCGTTGGCAGTTTCAAAAATGCTGAAATAGTCAACATTTTACATTTGGTGACCTCTGGTGACCTGACATTTGACCTGACCGAAAAAATGACCGAAGTGTTTTCATCCTTATTTTGGACGTTCTTTCGATTGCCGGTTACCACGTGTAGCTACCTGGTCCAGGAGCCGAGTTAGAAGCGGGGTGTTCAGACACCCCCCCGGCCCGGCGCGGAATCTCAGAGCACCGGCCCGGCGCGGGTTAACACGCGCGGCAATGCATTTGGTATCATTTGGGACTGATTTGAAACTGCAATTGGCACTGCCCATTGAGTTCAACATTATATGGAACTAATTGGTAGGTACTAGAAATTGGGGAAAGCACCCTCCGAGTCGAGGGTCCACATTTTGCCACCTCTATCTCCTGTGTAATTTTTAAGAACATTTTTTCCCATTTTTTAGGTAGGTATATCGATTTCAGTGATGTAGGTAACTACATGGCGTTTTCAGTCAAAAAGTGGTAAATGTTTAAAAATCGCCAAGAGCAAGGTTTAAAGCAAATTGCAAATTAGGGACATGAACAGACGCAGCTCAACGTGTTCTTTAAAATGGCTATCTCGGATTTTCCATGAAATGCGTTTTTCACCCCTAGAAATTCAAAAAACTTTTTTTTTTAACAGCTTATAAAATCCAAACTTTTGATAGGTATTAAAAAACGGAATATATGTTATAGAGCTCTATTAGAACATAAGTTGTCCCAATTTCAACTTTCTATCTTGATTTTTGACCCCCAAATTGTAAAAAATAGCTCCAACATGCATTGGGCATGGTGACGTCATAAGCATTTTTGCAAATTAGAGGCACTTTTGAATATCGTATGTGAAAACCAATGGCACCACTACTAGATTCCTGGGACAATGCTCGTCTAGAAAAGTGCATTTTTATGTTAAAAGTAAAAAGTTGAAAAATTGACTTTTTTCTTAGCCCTCGTTTAGTTTTGTATGGTATAAACGATTTTTATGCTTACAATGCACACTTAACACCAGCACAGTGACTTGGGGTCACATGTAGGTAACCATTACCATCGGATTCGGCGTGAAAAATAAGCCATAAAACATGTGTCGCACGCCCATGTAGCAGAAAGTGAAAACCGTGACCTTTCGTGACCTGACCTGACCTTGACCCGTACTTAGTATGACCCCTATACGCACATGGTACCTTCACTAGGTCTTTGATGTGATTTTTGGTGAGTTTCGAGCAGCAGCTATCGATTCCGCTGTCCGCAAGCCTAATCATGCAAAACCCCAGAATTTGACCTTTGACCTGATCTTGACCCGAAAGTTGACCTCACTCTTAAAATCTTAAGAGTGCTTTGGGAAGTTCTCGTAGAGATCTTTCAAACGCCGCCTAGCGGGGCTCGATAGGACCATTGGTTCTTGGGATAACAGGGGGGGTCGGATCCGACCCCCCCCCAGGCTGTCGTTGGTACGGAAATAGCCCAGGCGGTGCCGGGTTAACCCTCGCCCATGTAGGGGGGGGGGGGTTGGTGCAACCCCCCCCCCCGAGGTTTTTCGGAAATAGTGCAAAAACGGCGGCGCGCAGCGCCGCCAAATTTTGGGTACCTTATGAGGCAAACCTTGCGCATCTTTTGATAAAAAAAATTTGACCGGGTCATGTCAGGTCACGGAGTTATGACGTCACAAAGGGAACAGCCTCCGGCCGGATTTTCACAAACTGAGTGCCAACGCCCGAGGTTTCCTGCCGGTGGTACGGACATCGGTTGATGGATCGTGATGAAACTTCCCATGCATGTTGGGGCAAGTATTGGCTATCATATGGTATAAGAAACTTGACCGGGTCAGGTCAGGTCACGGAGCTATGACGTCACAAGAGGAACAGCGTCCGGTACTATTTTTGAAAAACGCCCGAACCACTATTTTGCTAATTCTTGTCACCTCAATGGGAATATGCAGCAATATTAGCTTCTATAGGGAGCAAATGGACCTTCCAAATCCAAAAATACAATAAGATTTCAAAAATTTAAATTTTGATTTTTCGAATTTCTGCCGCCGACTGTGACCTTGCCGACTTCCGGCGCTCCCAACGCGCCATTTTTAGAGCTAGTGAAACGAAATACATACCAAACGATAGAGAATTGATCAAGGAACACGATAGTGAAGGTTTCAAGTCGATATCTCCCACCGTTTTGCCGCAATCGCCGCGGAAAGTTGAAAAGTCTATTTTTCCGAAAATTTGACCTTTGACCGGTCAAAAGTAGGTCAAATGTTGACCTAGGACCAAAAAATATACCACCAATCGCGAGATCTCGGCGAGAGCAATCCGTTGGTCTTTTCCGCTAAGCTCTACGACGCTCCGTTTTCAAACGCCAAGGGGGGGTCGCACCAACCCCCCCCCCCTGCATGGGCGAAGGTGGCAGATCGCCGTTTACGGGCGAGGGTTAAGACATTTTTCGCGACAGTTTCGTCCCAGCATAGCAAGCGACCGAAATGATGAAAAATAAACTTTTCGGGAAGCGGGACAGCAAAAACAACACGAGACAGTGATTTTAGTTCATATTTGTCCGGTCATAACGCAGGCATTTTAAAGGTTCTTGGGGTTCTTGTACCTATTTTGCTTGTATTTTGCTTTAACAATTGAGCCTCAGCGCTGGTGGTGCTGACCGGAGTGCTTGTTCAGATCTTCGGGTAACTTCTGTATTCGTATTGTGCACTACCCTACCTACGTTAGAATCTTTTTTTAGAGTAACTTTCGTTTTTTTAATGCCCATTGCGCGATTCTAGTGCCCTGGAAGCTTCAGTCGGTGACCTCTTGGTACATGGGTTTGTGGTAGATAAGTACCTACCTACAAACTATCTACGTCCTACGAATCGCATGAAGTTTGTGCGAACTTGTAACATATTCGATCACCATAAGCGCCTAATGTTTAGTGTAGCCCATCAGCATTGTTAATAATAAAAATACCTGGCACATAAATGTGGTTATCTGTATGTATGTACATATACCTATAGCATAAAGACCGCAACATATGCTAAACCAGGCCAAACCAAGCTAGTAACCAAGCCTCCAGCGCTGGCGGTGGTCAGACTATCGTTACTGACCTGTTGGTGGTAGCAGTGGAGGATGGAGCAAGCTGCCGGCCGCACTGTCACCAGGGTAGGCCCGCGCACCGCCGCTGCTGCCGCCGTGCGCCAGACGTTCCAGGAGGCCCGCCGGCAGTTCACCGTCCTGCTGAAGCGCTCCTCGAGCTCCCGACCGCTTCTGGTCGCCGCCTTTCAGCAGCTGGAGGCCTGTATAGCCGCCAGCGAGCGGCTGGAGGAGAGGCAGTGGCGCGCTCTGCGTGGCCGACTCGCCAGCCGCTGGCGCAGCCGCAGCGAGGCCGCCTGCCGTCCGCGCCTGGCGCAGCTGGCCAGTCGGCGGCGGCTGCTGGCCGACCAGCAGAGGCAGCTGGACGGCCTGCTGGCGGAGGCGCGCCGGCAGCTGCAGCTGGCCGCGGCGCCGCCGACCGACCTGCCGAGCCGGCTGCTGAGGAAGTGGGAACGGCTGCGGCTGGCCGACCGTGACAGCGAGGACGCCGAGCCGGCGGCCGGGGACGCGGCCGCCGCGCCACCGCCGCCGCCGCCGGCCGCCGCCGTCAAACCGTGGCTGATCGAGGGTCTGAGCCTGGAGGAGGCGTGTGACAAGCGCCGCCTGCTGGAGCGCCTGCGGCAGCTGGAGACGGAGACGGCGCAGCTGGCGGAGCGGCGCGACACTCAGTACCGGCCCGTCACCGACTACAGCCACTGCCTGCGCAAGTACTTCAGCTGCGTCCAGAAGAGCAAACACAGCACCAACGAGCTTATGAAGGTGGGCCGCTGCTATGTGTTCTACACCGTGAGCTGAGAATGAGAGTAAAGTAAGGCTTAATTATTGGTAATGAATGTTTACAGTTTGGATGTAACGCCATTGAACATTAACGAGTTTATTCCTCAGACCCGTGCCAGTCTGCGGCTGCACGCCGCTTGGGTGCGGGACCACCACTGCCGACTGGCCCGGGAGCGGCGCCGCCGGAGCGACGCGCCGCCGCCGCCCCAGGCTGACCCCACGCAGGTGACGGGCGAGCTGCAGCACTACGATCAGCAGTGGCAGGAGGGCATCGAGGTGGAGACGACGGCGGCCGGCGCCGGCGTGGGCGCGGCGTCTGTGGCGCGCGGCGCGCCGCCCCTGGCCGAGCGGCTGCTCTACAGCCGGCTGGACGCGGCCGAGAGCCGCGCGCTGGTCACAGAGGCGGCCGAGCGCGGCGCCTGGTGCCAGGTGGAGTTTGCGCTGGCGCACGACCGGCTGACGCTGACGGCCGACTGCGTGGTGGCCATGTTCGTGTGCTGCCGGTGCCGCGGCCGCTGCTCGTGCCAGTGGACGCGGCTGGCGCTGGCCGCTCAGAGGAGGGTGCCAGAGAGGCCGGCACGCACGCGCGGCTGGGGATGGAGGAAACTGCGCATGGCCACCCAGTTGATCAGGCTGCTGCATAGCACCAAGGCGGAGGGCTAGACCGCGCATGGAATGGACGGTCGGATGATCAAAGGTCCAGCTCCAGATAATACCGCTGGCATCCGTGCGGTAGGGATGTTATGAACTATGATTATACGGTATATATCGTGCTGTCTCGGGCGAGGATAAATGTTTACTTTCGAAATCTAAGCTGCGTTGCGGCATTGACGGTGGTGTGCGGTGTGTATGCCGCATTCTTAGTAAAATGCGACCACTAAAATAAAGACACTTTACCGCAATATATAATCTGTTTTTAATGAAAAACAATGCACATTTTCAATGTCAATTGCTCTTATCAGAAGAAATTAAGATTTACATAGCTAAGTTTTTTTTATTGATGGAGTTAAGTGCTTGTGCGAGGAACATTGTAATAGTTATTTGAAAATATATAAGCATGACCTATCCTCGATATTGAATAAAACAAAGTGCCGAAAAATGTAATTTATTGACAGAAAATATGTGATATTTCGGCCACTGGCCTTTGTGAACATATATAACAAGATAAACAATAGTTTCGTTTTCGCCGCTCGCGTTCCAACTGCCTCTACAAAATTACGTACATCAGTTCGTGACAAAATCGATATCGTACCACTGTACAAGTATTATAATTCCGTTGAAAGGTGAAAACTCTATCTATGAGTACACAGGTTTAGATACACCTACCGGCCAATAACAATACCTATAATCAGGTTTAGATACCTTCATAAAGCTAGAAAATCATGACAAAGGCTTTAGACCGAAAGAAAGTAAGGACAGTTTAAGACGAAATTATCCTAACATCTGTGAAGACCGCGTGTGGAAGGTGAGTCTATACAAATCAAATGAAAACAAGCACATCAATAAACAATCCAAATCACTAATACATATCTCAAAGGAGTTCGCACAACACATATACACACATGTAGGTACAATGTACATACATATAATTTCACAGGATAGGCCATGACGAATCGTTACTGTTTAGACGTGGGCGGTGGTTCCTGATCATCAAAGACTCGGCTATTTTTCGATCCGGGTGGTCCTTAGACCTGTACATGACTTTCACAGTGAGAGGTACTTTGCCATCTACTGAGATATTAGAGTGGGAGGCCTGGAAATGCTCTCCCATGGGAGTATCTGGAGTTCTATTTTTGAGGTCACGTACATGCTCGTTGAAGCGCAGTCGCAGGGGGCGCTTCGTTTCACCTATGTACACACAGTCATGTCCATCCTGGCGACAAAGTTCACATCGAATTTCATATACAACATTTTTCTGTGTACAATCCCCCATGAACCCAGTTGAACATGTGTGGCATCTCCTAGTCCTACCCCCCGGACAGGCTGGCTTCGACATAGCGGATCGTACTAGTTTGTTTTTTATTTTTTCCTTGTTTTGCCACGCCACCCGTATGTCTAAGCCTGATCTTTTGACCTTACTTTTAATCTTGCACAGCAGCTCCTCGTCTATGTATGGTAGACAACAAAATGGGTACCCTAATCACATTCTACGAAGGCTTCTGCGAGAGGCGAGAGCACAGAGAAGACCTTCGGCTGATGGGCATCAGCGCCGAGCGCAGTTTGACGGGTTCCTTTGTCTACCATACATAGACGAGGAGCTGCTGTGCAAGATTAAAAGTAAGGTCAAAAGATCAGGCTTAGACATACGGGTGGCGTGGCAAAACAAGGAAAAAAAAAAAACAAACTAGTACGATCCGCTATGTCGAAGCCAGCCTGTCCGGGGGGTAGGAGATGCCACACATGTTCAACTGGGTTCATGGGGGATTGTACACAGAAAAATGTTGTATATGAAATTCGATGTGAACTTTGTCGCCAGGATGGACATGACTGTGTGTACATAGGTGAAACGAAGCGCCCCCTGCGACTGCGCTTCAACGAGCATGTAGGTACGTGACCTCAAAAATAGAACTCCAGATACTCCCATGGGAGAGCATTCCAGGCCTCCCACTCTAATATTTCAGTAGATGGCAAAGTACCTCTCACTGTGAAAGTCATGTACAGGTCTAAGGACCACCCGGATCGAAAAATAGCCGAGTCTTTGATGATCAGGAACCACCGCCCACGTCTAAACAGTAACGACTCGTCATGGCCTATCCTGTGAAATTATATG